CGAGAAGTGGAATCCACTTTGTTTGAGATGTTCTCTACCCTCTTTTAGTGCATTGGACCATCCCGTACATAGGAGGAGATCTTTTGTGATTCTTCTAATCAAGTAAACACATATACTTAAGCATATTGAGTAGGGGTGTTTTCAGAAATTTTCAAAAATTATAGATACTAAATGAAAATAAAAAAATCAGGGGGGCGGCTGCCCACACTGCACACCACATAGGTCGTGTCGGTGTCTGCTACTGTTGAATTAAAATACCACCACTCTTCAACAAAAATATTCAATAAAGGCAGTACTTAAGTCATCTCTCCTCTAGCATCTCAAGTGGAAGGTCAAATGTTCAATTCAGGAAAAAAGTACTCAATTTTCTCATCGGAGGTGTATATACATATTTTTGCTATTTTGGATATTTTGTGGCTTCATAAGTAATTGGAACAAGAAATTCACTATTGGTGGATGGGGAAAATGGATTCGAGCTCAACTAACGTGCCAATTTAGTACTATAAATTAAGCAACTACGTACTAGCCTGCTACCTAGTTCCTATGTATCACAACTTGCAAAACATAGTTACATCAAAATCATTGTACGGACAAACCAACTCATGAAATCTTAGCTGCCAAAGCAGCAGTTCTAACTGCAACTTCGTTTCTCTAATGACACCCACCACCGCCACCTAAAGCAACCCCACCCGATCACACCCACCACCGCCACCTCCCCTCCATCTCACCCCCCCACCCCGATGACACCCACCACCACCACCTCCCCTCCATCTCCAGCATCAGCCAACCCACCACGGCCATTGCAGTCAACCTCTCTCTCTCTCTCTAAAACAAGCTACACCGCCAGTCTCTCTCTCTCTCTCTAAAACAAGTTCCACCGCCACCTCCCCCACCCCTATGACACCCACCACCGCCACCTAAAGCAACCCCATTCCTCCGACCCCGATCACACCCAGCACCGCCACCTCCCCTCCATCTCAATCCCACCCACCACAACCACACCCACCAGCCCCACGTATCTAACACCACATCATCTCTTGTCATGTAACAACATAGCAGAGTATGCTTGTCATTGAGTACTTGCTCAACATGAAGAAACCTCTCTACAAACCCAAAGCCCGCAATCCACTGAAACCTCCATCAACATCAAATCCCATTGCCAATCACCTTAAACCACCATTCGTCCAAGTGAATCATCATCCATCTACCCCAAACCACATGAAAAGCTCAACAAACAATCACTCCCCCCATCACAAACAATTAAACACGCACCAGCAGAAGCCTTACAACAAATCAAAAACCCCAGCACCAAAGACTCTCTTAAAGAAACCACAGAATACATCTACACACACACATCCCCAACAACAGACCACACCAGTTACCTCTCACCTACCAAGGAATTTCAACCCTCTTTTATACGGCTCCCCAGCCCATCAAATAGACAGACTCCAAGAGCAGCTGGAGTGGAAGGATGAGAATCTTGGAAGAGCTTTGGAAATGCACAACAGGCTCAAGAAGATCATCTCAGACCTCAGAATTGAGCTTGCTGAATCCAAGCTACAAAATCAACTTCATGCTCCACTGCAGCCACCACCAACCACCACAGCCGCCACCTCCCTCGGCAAAGTCAGCAAATCTAGTACAAGAAGTCCAGGTTTGAATTCAAATTTGAACTCTCCTTCAAACACTTTAGTCACATCCCCTCTGTAGGAGAGCCACTTTATGCAGATCAAGCAACTGAAGGAAGGACCAAGCTGAAATTTGCGAGGTTGTGTATCAACCTTGACCTCACCAAACCTCTCAAAACTGAGGTAGACCTGAAAATGGAGGATGGCAGCATTGAACAAATCAGAATTGAGTATCAATGGCTCCCAAAATTTTGCATCAAATGCAACCATCTCAACCACACTGAAGCTCATTGCCCACTCAACTACATCAAAGTCCCACAGCAAAAACTAAGGTATTGTGACTTCTGATAGCAGTTACACTTTACAGAAAGATGATAGCCCTGCAAACTACCCACCAAGCACTGAATGGGTCACAATCCGGAAAAAAAAAAAGAAGAAATTTCAGGTATTACCACAGCTTGAACAACCACCACAACCATCACAAACAGCCTCCCCACAACTTGGGAAACCACCTGAACCAACTACCAATCAAATAACTAACCAATTCTCTATACTATCCAACCTACCACATGATAATAACCCAATCGATCCCATTACTTCCACTGCTTCAACATCATCCACAAATCATAACAGCAATACCACACCCACCACAATAGTCCCCAATACCTTTGTGACCTCCTCTAACCCATCCCCTGCAGGCTCACCTGCTTTACATACCCCACACTCACCCCTTTGCTCTAAGAAACTTAACTTCAACCACACCAACCCCTCCCCTCCAAAACAAACACATGATTCACCTTCTCCCTTGGTGGGAAACCACTGCCACAACATTGTATCTCCAACAACATTCCCACAATGCAGAAAACAAAAACTGGAATACCCTAAAAACCTGAATTCTGTCTACAACTCCTCTCTCAGTGAAGCTGATTGCTCCACTAATCCTGCAATGACAAATCAAAACATGATGACAGCAAGAACCATGAAAAAAATGGCTAGAAGGAAGTCCGGCAGCAATACAGATTTGAAGTCAACTGGTCTACCACTAGACCACAGACATCGTGGAGGTTCATCTCTCCACACCCCTCAATGATTTCCTTTCTAACTTGAAACATTAGAGAGTTAAATCAACCCTCTAAGCAGTCAGAAATCAAGAGGCTAATTTCTGACAAGAAGCTGGACCTAGTCTCAATTGTGGAAACAAATGTATCTCCCTCAAACATTGATTCAATCCATAACATTGTTCACAACTACATTTTCTCACAGTTGGGCAGAATCTGGATTATGTGGAATCCAAATGTAATTGACCTCACAGTCCTAAATTCAGATAGACAAGCTATACACTGCACTATCTCAATTATAGGACACAGCATCTCATTCTTTTCTACTTTCATTTATGCTGCTAACAATGTAATTAAGAGACAGTCACTATGGGAGAGCATAGTTCATCATGCAGGTATCTTCTCTCACGCACCTTGGCTCCTGATGGGAGATTTCAATGCCATCCCTCATGCTAATGAAAGACATGGTGGCTCAATGAGGTGGTGCCCTGCAATGACTGATTTTAAAGAATGTCTTCAACAAGCTGAGTTGGAAGACCTGAAATACAATGGAATTCTCTTCTCTTGGTGTAATAGAAGCGTGGGACCAGCATGCATTGCCAAGAAACTGGACAGAGCTTTGGTGAATCAAGTATGGAACACATCATTTCCTATCTCTGAGTGTAGCTTCTTGCCTCCAGGGATCTCAGATCACAGCCCCATCCTTGTAACCATGGAACTTAATATCCCAAAAATATGCATTCCATTCAGGTTCTTTAATGCCTGGACTTCACACCCCAAATTCATTTCTTCAGTCCATGAAGTATGGTCTACCTACAACCATGGAACCTCTATGTACCAAGTAGTCCAGAAACTCAAGCTATTGAAGAGAGTCCTCAAATCAAACTGCAAGAAGGAATACACTGATATTGATTCAAAAGTGCAAGCAGTGAAAATGGAGCTTGATTCATGCCAACTTGACCTGGACAACACTCCCACAGATTCAAACCTAAAAGAGATGGAAAGATCTCTTACCACTGAATACATCAGGCTTGCCAACTCACAAGAAGACATGTTGAGGCAAAAGTCAAGAATGACTTGGTTAAAACTTGGTGACTGTAACTCATCATTCTTCCACAAATCATTCTCCTCCAGAAAAAACAAGAAGAAAATTATTACTCTCACCACCGACTCTGGCCAAGTGTTAAGTGATATGGACTCCATCAAATTTGAAGTGGTAAATCACTTCCAAAATCTTCTTAGTACCTTTCCCCCAACCACACACACCCTCTCAGGGCTTCAAGAATCATATGCAGGTAGACTCCAACTTATAAAGACTGTCCTAGTGTCAACCCAAATCTATTGGTCAAGTATTTTCATTCTTCCAAAGGTAGTCATCAATGTTATAAACCAAATCTTTAGAGCTTTCCTTTGGTCTGGACCAGAATTGAAGACTATTTGCTCCAAAATAGTTTGGGGAAATGTTTGCAGACCTAAAACTGAAGGGGGGCTTGGTATAACTAACTTGGAGCTTTCTAACAAAGCTGGTATTCTTAAATTCATTTGGGACCTTCACAATGTTCACGATGGAAGGCTTTGGATTGCTTGGTGTAAAGCACATCTCATTAAATCAAGGAATTTTTGGACACTGAAGATCCCACACACATGCTCTTGGAGCTGGAGAAAGATTTTACAGCTTAGACATCCTGCAAGGCAGCTCCTAAGACACACAATTGGTAATGGCGAGGACACCTACTTTTGGTGGGACAATTGGGCCCCAAGTGGTCCACTTTGTTTAAGATTTCGTATTAACTTTCTCATTCAAGCTGGTATCAACACTAACTCCAGAGTGAGCTTCTTCATTTTGGGATCATCTTGGTCATTCCCTAACCATATCCTCCATGAAATCCCAGAACTGGCTCTTCTTTCACCTTCAATCCTATCCAGAAATGACAAAATGGTTTGGACAGCTTCTCCAAATGGAATCTACAGCCTCAAACACACGACATCCTACCTTTCTCAGCATTCTCCCCCAGTGGCATGGCACAACCTGGTATGGCACTCTCCCACCATTCCAAGGATGAAATTCAATTTATGGCTTGCAGTACAATCTAGACTTACACTGGACTGCAAATCAATGGCTCAGCACCACAATATATGCTCACTTTGTCACTCATCCACTGAATCACACAGCCACCTATTTTTCAATTGCTGCTTCATCTCTCCAATTTGGAGATTTTTCAAAGGGAAATGCAAAATTTACACACAATTGACAAATTGGGAGGAACTAATTCAATGGGCAAGCATTCAATGGAAAAGAAATACAGCCACTAACCTGGTTCGGAAGATCTGCCTCTCTACACATGGGAAGAACGGAATGAAAGAATCTTTAAAAGGAAGGAAAACACTCAAAGATCTGTCCTGGCTAAGATCAAATACTCAATCTCCTCGATTCTGAAATTGGGATTTCTCCATGACAGTCACTTCTCCAGAAGCATCCTCATGGATTGGAATCTTTCGCCCTCCTCCTGTCGTCTTCCTCCAAGGCCGCCGGACTGAACTACTTCCGGCAGTTCTCATTTAGGGCAGCCACCGAAATGTTTGCTAAATTCCTCCATTAACGGCTAAATGGTCGTTAAATGTAGTTTTTAGCTGGCAGTTTTAGCTTTGGACTATTCCTTGGCATGGGCCTAATTTTATTGGGCTGTTTTGTTGCCTTCAATGGGCTGTACTTGGCCAAATGGCCTACACTGTAATTGCCTATAATTTATTCAGTAGCTTAATTTTTGGAAAAAAAAAAATGTCATTTTATTTACAACCGACAGTTTCCAACTCTGCTCCATCTTATAATTAAATCATCTATATACACACTTATGAGTGTGTGTGTGTGTGTGTGTGTGTGTGTGTGTGTGAGAGAGAGAGAGAGAGAGAGAGAGGTTTCTGTTGAGATTTTATCTCTTATAGTATAGTTGTAGGATTGAATTATTTACTCCTTTATTTAGGGCTAATTAGTAGGTAATTTGTTACCTATTTTATAAATTGAATGTAATACCCATCAATGAATTATTGAATTGAGTTTTTATTCTCATATTCTTTCTCTGAATTTCAATATGGTATCAAAGCCATCTTGAACCGTACATTTGAATCTCTTTGAATTTATTTTTTATTTTGTTTATTTTATTCATTGAACCATACACAAACCCATACACATACACATACAATAGACACATACCCATTCCCATACCCATACCCATCGCCGAATCTGAATCTGCCGTGCACCGCTGCCCGCCGGCGACTCTTCAAACGACGACGATGTTGCCAAACTGAACCGCTGCTTGCCGGCAATGAACCGTTGCACCTCGACTGCCAAATCGCCGAATCATAGCTGTCGCCGGATCTTTTCCACATTTGTAACCTCATTTGAAAACTAGTTCTGTGATAAACTAGTTAAAAAAATAAAAATAAAAAAAAATGAGTGAAATAAATATTGAATCATATGGAGCAGACAAGCCTACCTACAAATGCACTCATTGCAACCAAACTGGTCATACCAAAAGTTGCTGTTTTAAACTTATGGGATATCCGAAATGGTGGGATCATCGTCATTGGACGAAGAATTCAACAAAGACCTCCACTGCAGCAGTTGTTAAGACAAAAGATACTGGTGGTAAGAATTTCAATATTTCTACACATGTTGCTAATAGTGCATGGATAATTGATTCTGGTGCCACAGATCATATGACATTTGATTCTAGACATGTCTCACATCTTAATTCATCCTCACACAAAGTTGTTTCTACTGTCAATGGGACTTCGACCCCAGTTATTAGGGAAGGATCTTTGACACTCACTGATAATCTGCATTTAGATTCTGTTTTAGTTGTTCCATCGTTAGATTCTAATCTTTTGTCAGCTTCCCAAATAACCAAAGCTTTATCTTGTGTTGTCAATTTTTGGTGTGTTTTTCGTGTGTTTAAGGACATCCAAACAAAGCAGACGATTGGTTGTGGTATTAGGCGAAGGAAACTGTATTACTTGGACTTGATGTCCAAAAGTTCCGACAAGCTACAACAAGCATTGACAGTGGATGGTTCTGAGGGGGAGAGAAAAAAATCTGAAATCTGGCTGTGGCATCGATGTCTAGGGCATGCTTCCTTTGGTTATGTGAAAAAATTATTTCCTAGTTTGTTTGCAAAATGTGATGTTTCTAGTTTCCGTTGTGATGTTTGTGAACTAGCAAAGAGCCATCGTGTTTCGTATCCATTATGCTTGCATAAAAGTCCACTTCTTTTTATGACTATACATTCTGATATTTGGGGTTCGTCCAAAGTCACCACTTTAGGTGGATCCCGTTGGTTTGTTACTTTTATTGATGACTGTACTAAGATGACCTAGTTGTGCTTGATGAAGTCCAAAGGTGAAGTGAACTTATTGTTTCAAAAGTTTCATAAAATGGTTGAAACACAATACAATGCACATGTTCAGGTTCTCCGTAGTGACAATGGTGGAGAATATCAGAGTTTTGACCTTCAGCAGTATTTGGAAGCACATGAAACTATTCATTAAACCAATCGCCTGCTGAGGATGTTCTTGATTTAGTGCTAGAGCCACTCAAAAACCAATTACCACTGCGTCACACTAGAGGTGTTCCTAAACCCACATATGAACCCGAACTTTCTAGTAAAGTTAAGTATCCCATGAGCAATTATGTGTCTAACCATCGATTGTCAGAATCAAATTTGTCATTTGTAAATCAATTATCTACTGTATCTATTCCTAACAATGTGCAAGCCTTCGCTGACCCTAGGTGGAAAGCAGCTATGAACGAGGAGATGAAATCCCTCCAGAAAAATGAAACTTAGGAACTCATTGATCCTCCACCAGGAAAGAAACCAGTTAGATGTCGATGGATTTACACTGTGAAGTATAACGTAGATGGTACAGTTGAACGCTTTAAAGCAAGATTAGTGGCAAAAGGTTACACCCAAACCTATGAAATCGATTACATAGAGACGTTCGCACCTATAGCCAAAATCAACACAGTTCAGATCTTGTTGTCTTTAGCTGCGAACTTGGATTGGCCATTGCAACAATTCGATGTGAAGAATGCTTTTCTGCATGGTGAATTATCTGAAGAAGTCTATATGGATCTTCCACCAGGATGCATGATACCCGAAAAGTATACTCGGAAGGTCTGCAGGTTAAAGAAATCATTATATGGGTTGTAACAATCTCCGAGAGCATGGTTTGGATGATTCACAAAGTCAATGATAGCCTTTGGCTACCGTCAAAGCAATTTAGACCACACATTATTCCTAAAGAAACAACAGGGTAAGATCACCGCACTCATTGTATATGTAGATGACATGGTGGTTACAGGGAATGATCCTGAAGAAATGAAGGCTCTCAAGAAGTTCTTGTCCAAAGAATTCGAAATAAAAGATCTAGGTCCTTTGAGATATTTTCTTGGGATCGAAGTATCTCAATCTAATAAAGGAATCTTTATATCTCAAAGAAAGTATGCCTTAGATCTGTTACAAGAGACTGGCATGACAGCATGTCAACCAGCTAAGACACCAATGGAAGAAGGACTGAAGTTATGTGTTGAGTCCAACCAAGTACATGCTAATAAAGAAAGATACCAAAGACTTGTAGGGAGATTGATGTACTTAGCACACACGAGACCGGATCTGTCTTATGCATTAAGCATTGTTAGCCAGTTTATGTATGCACATTTTGAAGTATCTGAAATCTGCTCTTGGAAAAGGAATTTTATACACTAAGAATGCTGGTTGTCAAAACATAGATGCATATACTAATGCTGATTAGGCTGGAGCTATAGATGATAGGCAATCTACTTCTAGTTACTTCACTTTTGTAGGAGGTAATCTTGTTACATGGAGAAGCAAGAAACAAAATGTTGTTACTCGCTCGAGTGCAGAAGCTGACTTAAGAGGTATGGCGCTTGGACTTTGTGAAACTTTGTGGTTAAGACTTCTCTTGCGGGATTTGGTCATCTACCTGGAAAACCGATTCGACTATATTATGACAATAAAGCAGCATATGATATTGTCCATAATCCAGTTCAACATGATCGTAGGAAGCATGTTGAAATAGATAGATTCTTTATTAAGGGGAAGTTAGATGGGATAATTATGGAGTTCCAAATATTCGATCTGAGGATCAACTAGCCGACATTCTTACCAAAGCAGTCTCAAATAAAGTGTTTTAAAAATTTTTAGACAAGCTGGGCATGTGTGACATCTATGCACCAACTTGAGAGGAGTGTTGAGATTTTATCTCTTATAGTATAGCTGTAGGATTGAATTATTTACTCCTTTATTTAGGGTTAATTGGTAGGTAATTTGTTACCTATTTTAGCTCATCCTATTTTATAAATTGAATGTAATACTCATCAATGAATTATTGAATTGAGTTTTTATTCTCATATTCTTTCCCTGAATTTTAATAGTTTCAACCTTAAGAAACAAAAAGAAACTCACTAACCTACATAAGATGCCATTTGATTCCTTTGAGTATATTATTGCTGTGTTTATGGGAAAATTATATCAGTTGCTATATAAACTAACACATTACATTTCTAATCCCCACATTGTTTCATTGACTTCTTAGCATCATTCAGTTTCGCCTCTTGGTTCACAGAAGAAAGCTCTCTCAGGAAAAAAAATGGTAATCACTTTGTTACAAATTTTTATGTGGCCTTAAGATTGCAGAAGAAAGGTGGTAACGATTGGAATGGAAGTATCTTAACCTAAAAGGATAACCCATTAGGTAGAGTTACCTTACCCCCATATATGTCTCAGGTTTCCTTCTTCACCAACCAATGTAGAACTCACCAAAACTACTGGTAGCACGTAGTAGTGATGTTTTTAAGGGAAAAGATGAAATGGGAATAGTTTAGGGGTGTTATTGTTAGTATTATTGTTATTTTAAATGCCCTCCCTATTTTTAATGTGAAATAACATTATTGTCTTTAATTCAATTCATGATAATCGAATGTAAGAAGTATTTACGTGTCATTTAATTTAAGAAAAAACAAATAAATAAGTGCATTTATAAATAAGTAGAGTGCCTTTATCATTTCTCAAAAGAAAATATTATGTTATGAAACTGTATCCAAAAGTTTCTCATTATTGACCTCTTTCAATTGTCAAATGAGAAGAACTATGGGCTCGTTTGGCATAACTTTTGCTTCTGCTTTTACAAAGAAGAGAAAGAGAATTAGAAGCAATCACTTTTATTTGACTTATGTGTTAGTGTTTAAGAACTATATTTTAAAAGAGCTTTTAATGTTGGAAGAGTTTTTTTTTGCATGTTTTGCAAAACATTTGTTAAAGTTTTTTACTATCTAAATAACTATTCTACCCTAAGATGGGGTGAATATATATTTAAAAAAAACTATTTAGCAGCATAAAGTAGTTACATTATTTTACACAACACTATTTCCTAAACACCCTAATAACCCATTCAACATAATTTAACTATCAGAAATGCCTTATATAAGAACAATAACTTGCTTTAAAAAAGTCAGATATTAATTTCATCTCATAGCTAATACAACAAAATGGAATTTGAATAAAGTATTTACCTAAGTTCCATATCAATTTTATTCTGAATAGCTTTCATTTATCTCATTTTCAATTTTACTATCATTAT